AGCATTACTATGTAATATGAATATATTAATGTGTCAGTGATTTTTTTCTAGCTGAAGCATGCTTATTTCCATATCACTTACTTGAGATGATTACTTAACATTTAGTTAATATTCAATGTTAATTAAGCAGACGGGCTGACAAGAGGAACATGACTCAACATCTTCTGCCTCTTCCCCCTCCTTTACTAAAACAGCTTTCACCTCAGGTCAGTAAAGGATTTTGCTACTTAACACTAACATCATTAAATATGCTAAGTATCATCTCATCAAAAAGACTGTGAATTTTCAAATCGTGTTCTATGAACTTTTCTCAACCTGATAAGTACTGTAAGTTAATTCGTTACATTCAGTACAACTTTTATGGGGAGAAGGATATCCATCAGGTACACCTCCAAGATATTGGAAAGATTCAGGCAGCAGCTTTTTTTGATTTAGCCATCTTGAGACCCCCACCTTGATTTTTTGTTTTTCTTACAAAGGTTTATATAAGCCATAAAATACTTCACTGATTCCTTAGGATTACACAGCCCTAGTTCTTTTGTAATTTCTGACAGCTGCAACGCTAGCAGCACTGTTGAATTAATTAACCTGACAAAATGTCTGCTGGCCCACTCCCTGCAGAAGAGCTTTTGTTCTCTACAGAAGACTTGAATGCTTATAAAGGCCTGTGAATTGTGAAGGCTGAGGCTTGTTTGCCCATATCCACAAACTGTAAGGTACCCTGGTATGAATCTGTAACCTCCCAGCAAGAAAGCTGGACCTAAAGACAGTGTAAGTTCATGCACAGCATGCTTTATGTAAGGTGAGTAAATATGGCAGCTAACCACAAGTCATCCAGTCTAGCTAGAAAGCTCTCTACCAAGCTAGGTTGTGACATGCTTCTCTGTAGCCTAGCAGGGATCAATGAAATGTGTGTATATAATAGGGTTAGTTAGGATTTTTCACTTTCAGGGAACTCAAATGGCCCATAACGCTTCCACAAAAGTGTTTAGCTGGGCAGCTTGTCTCATGCAATCCCTGGATCCTGCTGCCCCATTCCCCCCATCCTCTAGATACACACAACTCCTTCTAATTGAAGAAATATGGGAAATCTACCTTGGTTTTCCCAAAATATGTTATTGAAAATGTGCTTATGTACAGACATGGCTTTGTCACACAGGCATGGTTGTCGCAGTAGCATATAGATAAAGTCTTGTTAAGTGTTTTTCTGCTCCAGTCCCTGTAATGATTGCTTTGATCTCTGAAGGCAATGGGAACACATTAACAGGAATAGGCATGCAAGAGCAAATAGGATATGACAGCATCTTTCCTCTCGCAACAGGATTCCTTTGCTTGTGAACTCTCCCATCCCCTTTTTCTTGGCTCTTGTCTAACAGAAATCTGCAGCTGCGAGGTTCAATGTCCTTATCACCAGTGCTTCCAAATTGCATCTCTCTGGAGTCGCAGCTTACAAATTAAAATATCCCGAGTAATGCTCCAGATGTCTGCTCAAGGCCACAGCCGGTGACTCTCGGCAGTGCAGGGTAGGAGAAGATGGAGCTGCCAAGTCCCATTCCTTGTGGAGAAGCTTCCAACACCAGGTGGTTATGCCAGGCTCCCCCAGTATCCACACAAGTCACGGTCCCTACTGAAGGCTGTTTTAAAACAGGCATGGTATTTTCTACCTGTTTCTTCTTGTACCACGGTGCTGAGGCACTGCTCCTATGCTTGCCACACTGGTTTCTTTCCTACTTAATGTGAGGAGCTGTTTTCCCTCACAAAAATAATTTTGTTATGCTCAAAAGTAAAAGCTCCTTCAGGCTTCCCCCATAAGTTAGGCTCCTTATTCCTGCTCCTGCTAAAACTTACATTCATCTTCGTTTGCCCACCTGAATGCCCAGATTTGCACAGGGAGCTCCAAATGAGCCTCACCAAGTGCCTGCTGTAAGACATCAGGACATCATTGGATGTGCACAGTTTTCTTCATCACTTGAAGAGGAAACAAAAAAATACATCCTGAGTGTCCTTGGTAACCTAACAATTACAAATTCAGGATATTGAAAGCACAGACAACTGCAGACATGAGGCAAGGGATTTGTGCAGCCTGGTATTTTCCCTTCAGCAGCCACATCAGCACAGCCGTTGCCTCACCGGGAACCAGACTTGTTGAAAGCTGGATCTATAGAGTTCTTCCAGTTGAAATCTGGTGTACAGTGCCTCAGCTAAGCTGGGAAGGAAAGTGCCTCTGGACATTGGAGTATCTACTGGGGCAGTGCCTACAGCTATGGGGAAACACCACCTCTCAAGGAAGTCCCTACGATACCAGGAGGATCTTGGAGGATATAACGTGACGTATATTCAAGTCCAGGACATTCACCAAGAATAAAATTAATGCTGATCACTTAATGCAGTGCTGTCACATCCCATGACCAAGCTTCTCCTTGCCAATGCTCATTTGTTTCCTGTCACAGCCCAGCATGGACTTTATACGCTGATATTGTATAAGGTAAGCCTCAAAATCATTTTCTACTCTACACAGCAGCTGTGGCTGTACCTTTCCTGATCCACATGCACAGGCTCCCACCGGCCATCCTGGGGCTCGCAGTGCTGGCCACAAAGCTGCAGCCTCCCAGGTGCTGGCAGCGTGCTGGGCAGCTAATGTCAGCCTGGCAGGTGCTCCCTACCTTATGCTTTTCCATTTCTAGCCTCAGTGGGCTCCCCAGAATAATTATGTGCTTGAAATACATTTGAGAATTTCTGCACCGGCACAGCCAGAGGTAAAGGCAGAAATCCATAGGCACACCCTGCCTAATCAAGGAAAAATGCCAGCTGGTCCTTGCCCTGCTTCTGAAAGATGGGGACCACTACATGGTACAAAAGCTGACTGAAAACATTGCTTCAGAACAACTGTTCCAAGCCCCTTAAAAGTTTATTGTTAAATTTCTTGCTTTACGGTTAAAACTGGGAGTAACTTAACTTGCTAAGGATACTATTTTCACCTTTTTTTTTTTTGAAGCTATTTTCTATGCTAGACCTGAATTTGCAACAAATACCTGTCACTCTGAGATTGTCCTTTCCAACAACATACTATTTAGTAAAATGATTTTGCTGTGTGTGGTTTATTGCCTGGTTGTAGGCTTCCTTAGCTCCTTCTGCCCCTTGTAAAAGGAGTGCTGGGAAATGACTCTTCATGAGGACACTAAGACTTTAAACAGGCTCTTACAGCTCACTGAAAAATACATTGCAGTCACTGGGCTCTCAGTGTTTTCTAGAGATGCAGTCTCCCCTCTGTAGCCTGGATCCTTTTATTTATTTATTTTTCCACAGGTAATGTACTTGGATTTATCACTGTCCTAGACCAGGTAGCCCAGCATGGTCATAAACTAGCCCCCTGTAAATTGAAGAGTATCTGCACTGCCTGCAGGGGGAACGGGTTAAAAATAAGATGTTCAGTTCTGGAATCGGATTCTAATTTACAAGCAGTCTTTCTCCAGTGATTGAAATCAGGAGAGATAGAGGATTGTAGATTTAACTGTAAAAAAAGTTTTCAAATTCATTTAAAAAACAAAAACAGAGAAAGAAAAAACTGTGTGCATTGTAATTTGTTCCATTGACTTCATTGGAGATATTTTTATCTTGGTGAAAAAACATAGGTTACTGAGCAACTGATGTATACATAGGAAAAACTCAAATAATATGTCTGAATGTCATATTAAGATTGACTTCACTGCTTACAAAAAGCCAGTGAAGTGCTAAGAGTCTGAGATGGCCAGAAAAAAAAAAAAAACAGAACAGAAAGAAAATCAAGGTAATGATGAAGCTGTTCACAAGGGAAGCTTGTTATCAGGAAAGAGTGTAGTCAAGATGTATAATCACTCCGAATGTGACAATGTAACAGACCCACATTTGGTAATGAAAACAGAGATCACATATATAATGGAAGGTCATCAGTCAGAGAAAGAAACAGATAAGTGGCAGCACAACTGAATAAATGCAAGGCTCTCCAGCGAGGTCCAAACTGTGCCTCAAACAACACACCCACAAAGGTGGCTCAGACTAAAGGATGGGTTCCTGTCACATCCCACTTGTTTTCAACACAGGAAGAAAAGGTAAGGTGCAGGAAACAGTGTAAAAGAGAGCACAAGGTGAAGAGATGGGGAATGATGACAAGAATTACCTGAGCATATGCTTCAGTCTAGGAAGCCCAATGCAGCCTTGCTAGTTTGAACCAGACGTTCTCTGATAAAAGCAAGCATCCATAGCAGAAAAACATTTTGCATAAGCAGGAAGATACAAAACTCTGTGGTGTCTCTGTGGCCTCCTTGCCCTCATCTATTCCTTAAAAAGCATTCCTCTCCCAAAGAATCACTCTGATTAAGAAAATTATGAATAGAACGAGAAACTATTTTAGCAGGCATTTCTTGAGGTCAAAATGAAGTTTCTTTTTGCCTTTTTTTTTCCTCTATGCAAAAGAGATATTTTTTTGTGTGTTTAATTTTTTATACTTTATTAATGTATTCCAGTTGTCTTATGCATAGAACTCTTTTCTCACTTGCTGGAGGCTCTGTGTTCACCGTGACTTCTGCTTTGGCAGGCAAAAGCATGGCACAATATATTTTCTGGCAGAAAAAAATGCTGAATTTTATGAAGACAAAGACAGGTTCCATAAATCTGGGAGCAACAGTTCACTCTTATGCCAGGATCCACATGCCTCTCTGCAATCAGGACGTGCTTTCTGCCCCCAGCTACAGGCATCCCAGCAGTGGGCTGCCCATAGGTCGCTGTGGTGTTTCATTGCCATCTGCTGAGAAGAGATGGACACCTGGAAGCTCATCCTGACTTTTAGGTCCTCAATCACAGTTACAAAGGGTTTCAAATTCTGGGATTAAAATTCATTTTTAAATCAACACAGACACCACAAACTCATCCCAAAATAACTGAAGGTATGGAAGAGGCTGGAGAAGAAGGGTCAGATAATGCTGTTGCATTCTCCTAACCATGAACTGATAAAGACAAGCGAATACCTATTAAAAATTGCTTTATTATACTTGTCAGTGTACCTTCCCTGTAGTTCCAGATGTTATATTTTAAAGTGCTTCAATAAAGTACACAAAGCGAAGAAAAGTTATGATCTCCCTAGCATGGGGCAGATCAGAAGCCAGCTCCTGTTCTTTTTCCCTACTTCTTTCAGAGTTGGGGTGTTTTTACTTTCCACAGGTAAAACAGAACAAAACCAGGAAAGGACGACAACACAGGATTTTGCTTTTTATTTGGTAAAGCTTCCATGCCTCCTCCTTGCCTCATGGGGATGATTTTTAAGAAATTAACTGCAAAGAAAAGCTGACAGCATTTCTCCTGAGTAGACAGAACAACTGCTGGGACATAGCAAATTTCATACTCATCTTGTCTGTCAGCCTTGAGGGGTTTAGAAGGGCTGATTTTGTTTGTTTAGTTTTCCAAGATGTTGAGCAGAAACAAGAACTAGGAGCACCCAGGACTAGCTCATTGTAAGGCTGCATCTGCAAAGAGGCGATAGCATAAAGGAGAGAACAAAGCCACATCTAGCCATGGGGTGAACAATTACAATAGGGCATGGCCAACAGCATAAATAGATAATAATGCAAGCAGAGTGTAATTACAAATTGGGGAATGGTTTTATTCAATACTAATCAGCTGCCTCAATCAATTGAGGAAAAATTATGCGTGATTGTGTTGCAAAAATCCAAATCTTGGTCTCTTGCGATGTGTTTTGTGTTTTTGTTTGCTGGTATCTGCAAACAGCCACATGACTGGGTTTTATTAGAGAAGGACTTTAGGGGATTCACAAGTGAACAAATCTCTGCATGCAGATGAGTTTGCCTTGCACTTTACTTAGATGTCAGAGAAAGGATGTCTTTATTCCACAAATGAAATAGCTTCAGGAAGTTCTAGCAAATTCTTTGAGTGTTCAGAGATCATTAACAAATCCATTCTAGCTCAGTCAGCCCTCTTGCAAAACCATTTTCTACCCCTTTATTGTGGACTTGAGCTAAAGTCCTCACCAAAACCATGGTTTTTGCAGCCTACCAGAGCAGGAAATCCAGGACATGCTTTGCTCTAGTATGAAGAGGAGAAGTTACAGGTTCCCAGTGGCTTTTCTTGCTTGTCAAAATGTTGTAGGCTGGGTGAAGTATCTCTCTCGGCCTTACCAACCTGGAGGAGGCACCAGCATCACTGAGCATGCAGTGACACAACTGTACCATCCCAAGGGACTGATCAAGGAGGAAACTGGTTAGGATGAAGGAATGCAGAAGCTCTGGTCACAGTCCTTACCGTGGTCGGTGCAGCACAGCAGATCTGAAAGTTAATTCTGTTTAATGAATTCAGCCTGTGTATCTGATATACATATTAACTTTTCAGAGGATGCAGTTAGTTATTTCTAAATTTCAAATACTTAAGATCCAGGTACTAAGTCTAATATAATGTTCTTATGTAAGCAAAGCTCTAAAAACACCCTGAGGAACTACTCCCACAGACGTATTTCCTCCATTGTGGAAAGTATTTCTTTGAGCAGCTAGGCATTTATTTTAGCAGTGAGCCTGGTTAGTTCATCAAATCAAGGAATAACTCATTTACTACCCAGCTTAGTTAAATAGTAACATTGCATGAGGAGCCAATGCAAAGATAAAAGAATTTTTGCTGTTAGTTTGTTAATAAACCTCAAGCTAAAACCTTGAGCTTTTAAGCTAAAGCTAAAAACAGCTTCCATACATCACTAATAAAGACTAAACCTGAGACTTGCACAAACAGCTTACCAAATAAGAAGAAAAGCAAGGCTCAGCTCTTATAAATGCATTATTTTCAGCACATTCCTGGAGTTTCCTAAGGTCCTAAGTTACATAGTTATATGGAATAACAGGAAACATTAGAAAATCAGAAGTTAACAAGTGGTTTTTAGTGTCAAAAAAAAAAAAAAACTCTTCAAATAAAATGTATTCCCCATCAATTCTTTTTTTTTTTTTTTTTGCCAGACCAGAGCTCTGAAGTGGCACCTGTCAGTCACTCCACCCTGCCTGACTCATTCATGTCAAAACAAACACCAAGAGGAGCACCTCTGTGGAAAAAAATATGCAATCTTATAAAAGTTGCTGAAATTTTTAAAATGAACTTAATATTCACCATAAAAAATATGATAATTAGTAAAATTTTAAAAAATAGAGGTCATTTTTGTGCATTTCTTTGTTCGGCTCCTGATGCAAAATATTCAGATTTTTTGATTTTTTTTTAAATTGCCTTTTTTTTTTTCAGAGCATCATAGATGGTGCTAACATTTTACCTATTATTCATCAATGATTATTTAATAGGAAAGTAGTTCACACACATACTAAAGTTGTATGATATAGGCTCCATCAGTTTCCTCGCAGTGCTTCAGAAAATCCCTTTAGCCTCAGTTGTGTCTTGAGTGACTGATCTGAACAGGGGGGAGCCAGCCCTGGTCAGTGCAGGTTGGCTTCTGCAAGGAACCCCCAGCTCAGGCCTTGGGTAGGCTGGCACTATGGTGTCGTGACTAACAACAGGGGAAGTCAAAGAAGCCAAAGGAGAAGGAAAAGGAGGAGTTGGAGAGCTCTCCGAACCAGGAGGAGAAGGGATTTTTAGTATTGGCTATGCTGGATCATGGAGGAGAACCTTGGGATTATAAAGTTGTCAGCCAGGATCCCACCCTCAAAGTTGCTGAAATACTCTGGATAAATTACATTTCCATGTACCACCCTAAAGGAGAAAAGAAATGCTGGGCCCTGCAGTGGCTGGCGTTTGATCTGGCCAGTGTCTTACAATAGCAGAACAGAAAAAGCAATGCATCAAGAGCTCACAAAACAACTTGCAGGTGGCTCACAGTGAAATACCTGCGCTGCGGCATGATAACGCACTGCTGAACAAACAGGCTGAGCAATTAAGAAAAATGAGAGAATTACTCAGGGCAGAGAACACTGATAATGACCAATTTAAACAGAAAGTACAGTGCCTGGGTACACTTATTTCTAGGGAGAGATTTAGATCAAAGGAAAGTAGCATCTCTGAGAGACAAATCAGGACCTGGAGATGTGGTGATGGGGATACCTGGAAGTGGGAAATCCAGAAAAACTCCGCAGTGCAAGGTGGTGGGGGCTGGGGGTGTGTTGTGAAATACTGAACAGATTTGGGCTTCTGCTCATTATGGATTCAGATAAAGGAAGCAACTTGACAGATAACCTTTGTGAGCTGGTAGATGGCCGTGGCCCTGAAACAGATCACCTCTGTGGTGATGTCAGTGAATGGGCTAAAAGAGTTGTGTGCCTCAAATACCAGCTTGGTCCTGGAGCAGTCAGCTCAGCACAGAGCACAAGCTCAAGAAGCTCTCCAGATTTACACAGCTCATGAACAAAATGCTATGACAAAGCAACATGAAAATCAACCCCACTGGGAAATGGAGTCCTATGCACATCCTAGCTACCAAAGGAAAACTTAGGGTTATCTAGAGAAAATTCGGGGATAATTGTGACTCATTTGAGGGGAAACAGTACAAACTGGAAACAAGGAGGGAAAGGTTTCATGGGTAGATGTGACTTGCTGACAGGAAATCAAAGAGAATGTTTTTAACTCTGACAAGTGAGATTGATTTTTCAGGATCAAATGTGGCTGTGGGATTGATCAGAAGTGTGGACCACAGAAAGCTTCAGCAAGAACAATCTTCTTGGAGATGCTCAATGTTGTTTTAAAAAGCATCACAAATACTGTTAAAACATTGCAAGACTTGTTCAATTTGTCCAATGCTTCTAGGTGTAAGAGTGATAGTTTGAAAATAGAACATCATCACTGCTGTTAATAATTTCCTTCATAAAAGACAAAGGAGTTTTAATATGTGAGCCTGAGACAATGGGAATGCTTTTTTTTTTGTTTGTTTGTTTTTGTTTGTTTTTGTTTGTTTTTGTTTGTTTTTTTCCAGTTAAAAGCATTTGTTAGTAGTCCTTCCAGAAATATTTTTTTGTGTAAGAGAACATAGACTGAACAGCAAAATGAAAGTAACAAATTAGATATTCAGATTGGATCTAAATATGGGTCAACTACCAAAGTTGCACGGGATCCAAAAAGCACCTTTGCAACCTGTGTAATAATAGGGGGTGCAGTTATACCACCTGATGTGCTCTTAACTGTTCAGATGGTGCAGAGTTAGTTTCGGTCAGTGAGCATATCCAAAACTAACATCACACCATCCAAAAGTATCCACAGATTTTAATTTGAGAAGACAAAGCAGAATGGGCCAAAATTAATTTTAACCATGTACCATGGGTAAAGAAATAGGAAACTGACTCATGAGGCATGGACTATTCCAGAATACATCCACAGTGTAGCCCGTACACATGTAAATTGTGCCTCTCATGAGTGTGGAGTCTCCGTACTTGGAGATACTTGAAAACTGTCCAGACACAGTCCTGGACAAGCCCAAGCTCTCCAAGTTAAGTTAAATACTGCATATGATTCTCCTGAAAATAAAAATAAATAAATAAATAAATAAATGACCTGAAATGACACACAAGTCTGCACCAATTTGGAGCTGTGGTACTTTTTTTTTTTTTCTTCTGGGTGAAACCTTTGCTTGTTTTAATATTGCACTTGCTGAGAAAGTCTTGTCACCATTCCCTGCCTTCCCTTCTGTCTTGTAAATTATCACTGCTGTTAAGCACTTCTGCTTAATAGGTTCAAGAAAGCAATACACACTGCATTCTACCAAGTCCACTGATGAAGTAAATACAGAAACATCAAGAAAGAGTTCAGTGAGAGAGGCAAGGAATGGAGTGAAGGAACTGTGATTAATCAGCAATGATTTACCGGCACAGCCTGTATACACCAGGGATATTTCCTGAAAATACACAAAAAGACTTGCTTGCTATGTGAACTAAAGTCATTGCAAGAGCACTTATAAGCTGCTCTCCTGGGCAACATGCCAGTTCACAGACCACACTTTAAACATAGATTGTTATATTTAAAGAATATAGATTTTCTATATATTGCTACAGTAGCACATTAGCATATTTAAAAGGTTATGTTCTCTAAAGAAAAATGAAAGTTGGGTTGCATTTTAATGTATTCTGTTAACATCCTACTACCAATGAGAACATTATTGTTCCCCTCAGATTTGTAATGGGATCAGATATGGTTTTGTCTTTTCAGACCCAGATTTGTTGCATAGTTGTCGAGTAAAGTGGCACTGTAATTTGCAATGTATGATATGCATGGAGATGGGCAGAGGTGACCTAAAGGACCTCTTTCAGCCTTCAATTCCCTGTTATGCCTAAGGTGAGGTATAAAATGCAACACCTGGGATGGTGGGGGACGGAAATATAAAGGGCAAGCTAAATGAAGACAGAATCTGTATTGTTGGGTGTTGCTCAAAGGAGATGAATCAAAAATTGGTTTGGTAATTTAGATAGAAGAAGATAGGAAGATAAATTAGATGACCCTGTAGGATCACCTTCTATCTACTTTTAAATGATGTGTCAGACAGAACGGCAGCCACATTTCAAGATCACAACAGGAGTCTCTGCTTCTATCCGTGCACTTCTTTCTGCACTACAAACTCCTGCGTACATTGGGTAGAGAATTACCCTTTGATGATGATGGCTTTTTCTCTACATATAAGTCATGGCACATGGATATGCTCATTAGGTATGGCAGTTAGTATATGCCAAGAAAGCAAGATCAATGTTGCCAAAAACATTCCTGAGAAAGGAATAACTGAGGTTATAAGAATAATTGCTTGCTGATCTATTACGTAATAAAAAGAAAAAAAAAAATAGGAGGGATCCAGATAATACAAAATCACTTATCAGAACACCATGTCTAGTTTCCTACAGTGTTGCGTATAGCACCTATCACATTCCTACTCATTTGCCTTATCAGCCCCTGCCACTGATGCTGTTCAAGGGTATTTTACAAAAATTATTTGTAGACAATTTCAAATTAAATATATACTGAAAAAAAAAATAAAAAACACATTATTTGAATAGCAGTGCGTGACTTTTGTCCATGATTTCAGAATAACCTAGAATTAAAAAAAAAAAAAAAAAGCATGTAGGTTCTTCTTGGAGCAGGATTAACAGCTGCTAGAATTATCAGCTTTCTATCCTATACGTATTCTGTTGTCCCAAACTTTATACCATATACATTCCTCATCCAAGAGGAACATCTGTACAGTATTATTAGTCTGATAAAGCAAACTTAGAAGTTAGCCAGCCCCTCATTTCACAAAATCTTTGGGCAGCTTTTGACTCTTACTAATAAAAGAATAAATCTGTCATAAAATATAGAGCTGAAAATGATTCAAGGAATATTATCTAATGACAAAAACATTTTCTTAAATTTCTAAAGACAGCAAACTGGAAGAACAAAAAGTCAAGTGCTCAAGGCCTATATCTGGTCATAACTTTTCAGTGTCAATGTAATGAAGATCTGATTAGTACATTGCCCTCATTTCTTCAAACACTATTTTAGTCACTGACATATCATTGATTCTTTATTACTATGATAATTGTTTAAAAGACACTGACAAGGAACAAGAAAAATCAAGGAGCATTAATCACATAGCCTAATTATTTTTTAACATGGTAAATACTTAGAGTCACAGACTGGTTCTTATTTAGAGCGATGGAGCTACATGCAGAATTACCAGATTTTAAGTAAAATGGCTGAGAAAACAAGCTCTACGGGAAGGAGCAAATCTGTGCATGGGGAAGGAAAGACACGGACCTCTCCCTCTGCCTCCACTGAGCTGCCTACACCTCACTTATGGAGGTGACAAAAAGCTTTGCCTGCTTGCTTTTCTGCATCACCATCATGACTGGACTCACCACCAAGACACCCCAGCATCTGTCCTTGATGGGTGACACCTTTCTGTTCATCCTCAGGACCACCATGCTCTCCCAAGCTACAACAGCACCACCCTCTGTGGTGTTTTCAGCCTGAGGCTCTAATGTTTTAGTATCCTTTACTTTTTATTTTCCCCCCTCCTTTCCCCCCAAGACTTCTCAGCCAGCCATGTAGCGCTCTCTTGCTGATCCTTCTCTCTGAAGCTGACAGCTGAAGTAATTGGTATTCATACAGTGTCATAGATCACTGCTAGATACAGCTTTAGTGACCTAAACTCTTTGACATCTGTTTGAAGACCTATGTAAAATGAATCAGTGCTCTCAGTGCCTAGTAAAAAAGTCTGCATATTTTTATCATTGCCAGAATAGTCATTCCAGGTTAACAGTTTGGACACACTGATGAAGAAAGTATGTGTATTCTCCCTGATCCACGTGGGTTGTGCAGCCTCCTTCTTCCTTTCTTTGCCATTATACTCCTTGACGAACTGATCCGGCATGGGCTTCCCACAGGCAGCAGCTCTTCCAGAACTGCTCCAGATATGGGTCCGTACCACGGGGTCCATCCCTCAGGAGAAAACTGCTCCAACCTGGCTCCCCTACGGGCAGCAGCTCCTGCCAGATCACCTGCTCCTGCGTGGTCTCTCTCCACGGGCTACAGGTCCGGCCCGGAATCTGCTCCGGCAGGGGTCTTCCACAGGCGGCAGCCTCCGTCGGTGCAGGGCCACCTGCTCCACCGTGGTCTCCTCCACGGGCTGCAGCGTGAAACCCTGCTCCACCGTGGTACTCCATGGGCTGCAGGGGGACATCCTGCTTCACCATGGTCCTCACCACAGGCCACAGGGGACTTCTGCTCCGGCGCCTGGAGCACCTCTCCCCTCCTTCTACACTGACCTTGGCACCTGCAAGGCTGTTTCTCACTCCCTTGACTCTCCCGGCTGCTGTGTGGCGCAGCAGTTTTTTCCCGTCTTAAATATTTCATTAAATACCTATGGTATTATAAATCTGGTATGGTGAGCTGGCAAAAACAGAAACAAAGATGCCAGCAGTGTGGACTGGGGCATTGTACTTGTGCTAAGAAAACACTCCAAGAATATCACAGAGTGATTTTATGGTTTCTAAAACATATTTTAGACCACCGAATATCAGATTTAGGATGTGCTTAAGATTTCTGAAGAAAGCAATTCAAGAGTTCCACATGACAATTCAAACCTGTCAAGATCATCTGTAAAAGTCAGAGATACTCATGTTCCCAGTTCTGGTTAATTGTCCTCCAAAGTCTCTGTGATTGTATCATATTGCTTACTGACTGTCAAATTGAAATTACTTTTTTCTTTCTTTCTTGAAGTTCAGAGAAAAGAGGATAAACATGAGAGATTTTCAAATATGTAAAACATTATTGAAAGAAGAGATGATTCTCCACAAGCACCACATAACACAAGTAGTAGGTCTATAATGTGTGGTGATTAAGTTCAAAAGGTAGGGTAAAAGGAAGGCTATAGTAGTAGTGGAATATGGGAACAGATTACCAGAGATGGCTGTGGCATCTTTGTCACTGATGGTTTCCAGGAACATGATAGTCAAATTTCTGCCAGGAAAGGCTTGCATAGTAGTCAATCCAGCCTCATGAAGAAAGATCTGGGCCAGCAGCCTTTAGATTAAAACTGTTTTAAAAATAAATAAGAAAAAAATGAAATCAACATGGTTCCCATTTTAGGGGCCAAAGTCAAAATATTTCAGAGGAGATTCAGTGTTGCCAAGTGGACTGGCACTGAAATCCCTGGTAGCTCCAGTCATTGCTGCAGAAGCACCATATTTGAAGACCAATGTAAAATGACCCTGACACCTATTGTCTTCCCCCCAACTTTGATAGGACCACGGTTCTGTAACCTATCTGAATCTGGCATGGTCTTGTCTGTGGTGTCTAACACCTGCTAGGACATGATGTTTGCAAAATGATGCCACTTGTGTGAATAGAAAGAGCAATTGCTGAAGGAAAGTACAGTCTGTGCTACAACAGCAGCAGTAGCCTGGGGAATATCACCATTTGTTTCATATTGCAATCACCATCAGATGAATAATATTTCTAATCCTAAACACAAGTTCAATTATCAAGATCGCAGTCTTAAGAAATTATAAAAATTATTCTCCTGTGGGTTTTCCATAAATATCGAGAAGCTAAACGGTAACTAATTTTACATCACTTTTGTGTGTGATTGTGTCATTTCTCATATCTACAGCTAAAACTGTTAGTTATTGAATTTGTTTGTCATTAAAAACAAAAGATATATCTGAAGGATTTTAAACCAAGGAGATTTACTGCCTCATTTATATTTATTTTTTGAAATAACATTGGTAGTAGTACATCCTGACATCTTACATTAGTGGGTAAATTGATTAAACTAGGACCCAAATTTTCAGAGGTGATCACAGACTCTGAGCATATCTCATTAGGGAAATCACGCCTATTTTTTAAGAATATCATGCTGCTTCATATCTAAGGTGGATATTTAGAAGTGAGACTCATACGAATACCAGTTACTTAGGATTTATATCATGACATACACACCTCGGGGGAGCAACCACGGCTCATCTGCAAATCCACATCTCATTTTCAAGGAATGATCCCATATAAATCCATTTAAACCTAGGAAGCTAAACTTTGCTCTAGCTGTTTCAAAATATGTCTGAAGATGAAAAGGGAGGCAGCACCAAGGGGATTAAGTTTTTCATACATAGGGGGAAAAAAAAAAGAATCAAAACAAATGAACTAAACAGAGACTAAAATAAACTTGAAAAACAAAACATTCTGAAACTCCCATTTGTTTCTAAAACTAATTCATCAGGACAGTTGGAATGGCTATCCAGTCATCTGCTGGGTTAGGAGAAAGAGCTACCTCTGCCAGGAGCTTATATATTTGATATAGGTCATTAGTGACAGGGCATGAACATCTGAAATTACTTATGTTGTTTGCTATCCTCACATTTCTTGCGATAAGAGATCAATACAGGAAACTCATAAGGAATGCCAGATTATGCAGCAAATACCACAACAGATTTTTAACTTCAGTTGTTGCCAGTTCATCTCTTTGAGTTCTTGCTAAATAAAATATCATACAGTGACATTAGATTTGAGGAAGTATGTTGCTAGGGATGCTCTTGTTTTGAAAAAGATTAAAAACAATAGAAAATGGCAGACCCCTTGGAACCATGGAACTTCTTTTGCAAAAATATGCATTTATGCTTTTGATTTCTGCTCAGTTACTGACATCTCTTCTTCCTACCTTCTCCTTAAGTTTCCCAGATGAACTGACATTCTCCTTTACTTTTCTATCCTAAAATGATGCAAGGTGTTTTATGCTCTGTTAAACAGATAAACCCTCAATGCCAGAGATGGTTATATTTTATCAAGAGCAGCAGTAACTGTTACACAGTATGCACAGACAAAATCCTTACACTTAGATATTTTCTTAAGTACTTCGGAAATATTGGGATTGGATTTGATGTATAAATGTAGACATAAGGACATTTTACTTGCTTAACAATTTCAGTTTATAGACATGTTCAGCTTGTTTTCAGACTAGCCTCTAAAAATGTTTTTTAATTATCAGCAGATTACATTCATAAATGAAAAAGATAATCAAAAAAAATTTTGTGCATTCTTTGGCTTAAAGCATACCTAGGCAACAGCTTGCATAAATAAGAAAATAATAATAATTTAAAAAAAGGTAACATAACTTTTGCACCTCAGGTAAAGCAACATTCAGAGTTTTTTTAGATCTTACTGAATCCAAACAATGAAAAATCCATCTTTACCTTAGAAACAGTAGTTTAGCTAAAATTTCAAATTTTCAAGATGCAGCTGTTTCTTTATGATATTTAACCTCAGCTACCTGCATTCGAAGAGCAATTACTTTTCTAGATAATATTTGCTTTGATAAAAATTCTCTGTCCTTTTATTATAAATACTTGAAAAATTCTAACTGAAACAAACAACATCAACCACAACAACACAAAAACCACCCTAGGTAATACTTTTCAAACTAAGGTCCTTAGTTTTTTTTTTTCTGAGACCAGTCATTCATGGTAAATACAAATAGTTTATTAGAACACAAGGGAAGAGTCATGAGGGAAAACAACCAACCAAGAGAAATGTGCAGATTCTGAACTTTAACAACAAATATTTTGTTGATAAGCACTCATCATTAATGACATTTTAGTACTCTACCAGTCCACAAAGAATAACTGTGCTCTAGGGGAAAAAAAATAATAATAAAATGCACTACTTAAAATTGTGCAAAGTCCAATAAGAATCTTTGACTGATATATGCATCTATACAAGTGACTGTAGTCACCAAGTCAAGAATGTAGAAAGAGAAGTCAGCCTACACAGAACAGAGAAATTGAGTCCTGGGCTTGTTCCAGGTATCACCATTGCAGATGGAGTAGCAAAATGGCAAAAGATGTCCATGTATTTCCTAGGAAGAGGAGGGAGTCAATAATTGCTATCCAATTGTCAGTAACTAGACAGAGAATGGAAGACCTGTCTGACAGAGAGGGGCAAGATCATCTTTGCCAACATGGTTGCTAAACAAAACAGGTATGCCCTCAAAATTAGGCTCACTTAGTGATGGAGACCAAAGCTTCAAGGGAAATGGAGCAGTATGGGCTGAGAGGAAATCTGTGTGGGACAACTATTAGGGGGAAAGCCTGAAGATATGGACTGACAGAAACCTACTGAACTTCAGCAAAGGCAAATGCAAGTTCCGCACCTGGGACAGAATAACCCCATATGACAAGGCAGGCTAGTGGTTGGCTGACTGGAAAGCAGCTTTGCGCAAAAGGACCCGGCATTCCTGAAGGACAAGCTGAAAGTCAGTCAACAACATGTTTGTGCAGGGTTTAAGGCATACCAGACTGTGGTTTTTTTTTTGTTTGTTTTTTACCCACTGTTCAACACTTGTGAGCGTAGAACTCGAGAAGTGTGCAGCCTTGGGATCCTCCGTAGGAGGAGGAGAGTCCAGCAGAGGTCACTATGATAATTTGGGTAACTATGATGGGATGGACAACATGATGGGTGAGAAAGAGTATTAATTGTTGTCTATGGTTTCTAATCAGATGATTAGAAGGAAGCAAAGATGGGCCATACTCAGAGTTTACACTAAAATGACTGCAGTAAATGACATGTTGAAGCAAGTGAAATTGCTTCAGGCATTGAGGAAAAAAAAAAAAAGTACTTCAGTGTGAGTGGTTTAGCTTTGGAATGGAGCCCAGAGAGGCTGAGAAATCTCCAACCTTTGAAAAACAAAGCTTGCCTGGATGAGGATCTGAGCTACCAGATAAAACACTGAAAGCAGACCTTCACAGCTAGCTCTGTCCTGAGCAGACAGGACTGATCCAGATGTGCTCTGGATGTCCATTTCAACCTAAATTTTTCTATGATTCCATATTACAGATCTGTAATTGTAGCACCAAAACTAAAGGAGGTGGCTATAGTGGGATAAATGAAGATAATCAGGCATTGGGAATAAAATTCCCATAAACATTCACACTGATTTTTTATTTTATTTTTTTTTAGAACTGAAGTGCTGCATGCATTAAACAACACATTTTATGCTTCTATAGATTTGCACATTATTTAACGTCACAAGTTACTTAAAGAGAAAACTTCTACCAAAATCCTTTCTGCCCATGACAGAGATGTCTGTTCTGTCCAAGAATTGATGAAAGCATCTAAGATGGAAGGACTGCTGTGAGAAAGCAGAGCTGCAAATAATACAGGAATGATCTAGACCTTGCCCTGGATTCAGAGAACATGATTTGAGTGGTATAGCTGGAACTCACTTCCACCAGATGAAAAGAAGGATTTTTCTGTAAATAGAATTAGAAGGAAATTTTGAAAGCACTATTGCTGACTTACCTCTACTACTACCCATGACAGGGGGAGGGACATAAACAAGGTAGTTGAGCTCAAATGGGTGTCACTTTTGAAAATCCATCTTAAGGTGAGGAGTAAAAATGTGAAGAAGTAGTGGAGGTCATAAGACACATCATAAAAAGGTAGTACATCAAATAAGTATTGCTAAGCACACCTGAATCTTTTTCTTACTTTATATCATAGTAAGGCTTACATCATATTAAAGCTTCTGAATCTTACAGAGAAAGGGGTCATTTAACCTTGTTCTCTTGGAAAACTGTAACATTAACATTTAATCCAGTGCGTTTTTATAAGTAAAATTCATGAAGTAGAGTATTTGCAGAAATACAATAATAAAAAGATACAAAAAGTCACTAATACTAATGAATAAAAATATTCAGACATTTAGCCATTATTTTACATTACAGCAGTGTACTTTTTGTGGACTTTTACCTTCTTCAATGTTATGAATAATTACTTCACTAGGCATGCCAGATTTTCAGAGTGCCTTTGAAATAAGTAATATTACCTTCTCCCAGAAAAGTTCCCTACCAGAAAATCTAGACTTTTCCCTTAAAACCTGCTTTAAGCAGGCTGGCCAGTTCCAGGTAATAACATCACTCCATAAATTGCACAATGATGGAGAAAGCAAGCAGACTTCCTCTGTGAAAAATAACAGACAAATCAGACAAAAACTGAAAAGGGTTTATGTTCCTTCTTCCTCTCTGTCATTAGCTCTGGATTATT